CCGTTGGGTCGAATATAAACGAACCGACAATAACGACGCATACAGGCAATATAAACGCATAAGGAACATATGTTCAAAGACAATAAGAGAAGACAGGCTTCAGTTCCAGACCAAGCTTATCGATAAACGCGTCTTCAATCCGAAAAGCTTATTCAGTTACGCAGCTTCTCTTCGACAAGGCAAAACTGGAGTTTCCCAACTGCTTGGTCCTAATGGCCCGACCAATAACGATAGTGATGCCGCTAACCTTTTGGCTGAACAATACTGCCAGACATTCCAGCTGACCCACATCAACTATACTGACGAAAGCTTCACCTGCACCTGTACAGGACTTTCCGAAGTGGACCTGAGTGCTGACCTGGTGCTCCGTAAACTGCAGAACCTAAGAAAAGACACTTCTCCTGGTCCGGACATGGTTCATTCCGCTGTATTGAGGGAAGCAGCTTCAATCCTGGCGACACCACTTAGCGTGATGTTTGCACACTTGCTAAGCAGAGGCAAACTACCAGAAATTCGGAAGCTGGCTCACATCACACCAATTTTCAAAGGAGGTCGACGCAGTGAACCCTCAAGCTACCGACCAGTGGCCCTTCTCTCCATATCTTTCAGAATTATAGAATCCCTAATATACGACGGTATACTAGAATACTTATCATCCTCAAAGTTCTTTTCACCTCAACAGCATGGTTTCAGAAAAGGTCATTCTTGTATGACCAACCTGCAGACTGCGGTGGATAGATGAACAACCATCCTTGATCGCAAGGGGAAGGTTGACGTCATCTACCTGGACTTCTCAAAAGCTTTTGATGGGGTCAACCACGTATGTCTTATCAAGAAGCTTATACGATTGGGTATAAAACCCCCTTTGATTGAATGGCTCTCTTCATATTTAGAAAACCGACACTTTAAGGTCAGGGTTAACTTCACTCTCTTGTAGTGGATGTCGAGTCGAAGACGGACTATGATCACCACTACAATTCGTTTACGCGCCCAAAAAACGACTTGGTTCCTTTGATAGCTAGTAAATCAGAAGACTTTATTAATCCAGATCAATTGTATTTATTGGCGATCTCGTGGTATCGAAATAATACCGAGACGTGCCAAAGAGTACAGGCGAACAGGCAGTGCGTGAGCAAGTTCGAACCAAACAAGGCGGAGAGCGAAAGCAGAAGTGAGTCTGATACAGTTAAACAAATACAGTAAAACAATCTCTGGTACAATTGGTTACAATAATAATAATTGTTTCTGTTATTCCAATCGTGTTCTTATCGAGACTGGCCGGTCACTACAGGAGCCCCCCGCTAGAAAGGGTTTACACTTTCGATACGTAGCGGTTTCATTCGTGGGACTGATCGCGAAACGTGCAATTGTAGGACGAAGACGTTGGCAGAACAGGGAGTGATCGTTGATCCTCGAGTTGCCACCAAAAGTCTTTGACGTAGAACGGTACCAGAAGGAACGTGCTGTATTGATTGCTTGGATTAGCATGCTACACCAGAGTGGTTTGTATCCAGAATCTGAAGGTTGCGTTCGTAGAGGTCCGGACCAAAAACGCTGCAGACGTAGGACGAAACCAGATTGAGCCAAGGAACCAGATGCGACCAGGATAAACATGTTCGGGACCAAATGTATACCATACGTATTTGGAGCCAGAGAGGTCGACTGAGTGCGTTGACCAGAGCGTGGGTGATCAGGCCAGCTTTCGCCAAAGTTTACTGAAGTCGACGATACCGGAACAGCGATGGTCGAAGGCGTAGGCTCGGAGTAAACACAAAAAAAAATGATAGAAAAAGAGAAAAGTGTAGCTTTCTTGTAGTATAGGGGTAGATTCCTATACTGTATCCGTAGTTGGTTATGAGGTTAGTCGAGAAAGCGTACGAGTAAGCGTACTCGGCGACCAGAACGTGAGACGGTAGTCTCGTTCGAACCTCGTGAGCCTGCAATCTCATCCGCAGTCAAGGGCGATGTGGTCTGTAGGTCTGGACGTGAGACGGAAGTCTCGTCCGTAGACGGGGCAGATGACACGTGCTGTTGACTGGGACGTGAGAATGAGGTCTCAGGTGCATCTAGCGTGGGATCCGAAGTAGATGTAGAGATCCCGCTAGAAGCTTTGGTGGGTTTAGCATTGGGTCTCGGCTTATCAGGTAGGGCACTGTCATCGACGTGTGCTGGCATGAGACGATCAATGCTGACTACTTTGACACGGCCATGTCGATCAATCTTGAAGGTCTTTTCGTGACGGGAAATCACGTGAAAAGGGCCTTCGTAAGGCTGTTTGCTCAGATTGACCGTAAGTTGTCGTGTACCATAGTTAGGAATGACTGAGTCATCTGCAGCGCGTAGTCGAAGCATCGTAGCTTGAGACTTACTGTTACTGATAGGTACGACAGAAACTTGGGTACCTGTATCCACGAGGTACCTAGCGTTAGTGCGATAATCGTGCACGTAAAATAAACGGTCAAACTGAGGTAAAGGGCCGGTGAGTACGGCCGTATTTACTCACCGGTTCGGGAGGTTCCGGTCTTGTATGAGCAGGGAGCTCGACAATGACGGGCACCGGCCCCGAAGGCACGGTGAAACCAGCACCAACCTGCACTGGCTTCCGAAACCGCCTTCTGGCGTGGCTTGGAAGATGCCCGCTTGGGGCGAGTCGTTACGGCCTTACGAGATTGTGACCTGGGTCGGGGGACGTAGGGGGCTGGCACGTTTGTGCGGTCTCGGAAACTGAGACGAGTATGGATACATCTGTCCCTATCCCCATGAGCCGGAGGTCGTCTAGCATCGAGATCAATGTTAGAACGGGAAGTAGAGGCAACAATATAGTTGTCTTTGGCGCTAACACGTGCTAGAATCTTGTCTGCTATGAGGGCCACCTTGTGCAGTGGGGTGTCCTCGAGCAGGGCCGTAAGGGTTGGCTGGATACTGACTGGTAAGGCTTCGAGCCACAACTCTTTGACTATCTCAGAGTCTGCTGTCGAGTTTGCTGCAAGGGATTGCAGGCGCGTGAGGTGGTGGCTCGGCTTAGCATCACCCATAGGGTGACGTGCTAAGAGAGTCCTCAATCGTTCCTCTCTTGATGGGAGGAAATGTCGAACGATGGCATCCTTTAGACGGTCGTAAACGTTCGGAACGTTCGGATTGAGGACAACCTCACGAACAGCAGTTAGGTGATCCCCGGGCAATGATTCCAAAGCGTAGGCGTACTTTTGCCTTTGGTTGGTTATGCGGCGGATCTCAAATTGAGATTCCAGTGCCGCGAACCAGACTTCTGGATCATGAGGGATGAAAGGAACCGGTTGAAAATTGATAGCCTGTACCTCGGAGTCTATTATATTTATACTACTCTTATCGTTATCCACCATGGTAAGTTGCCAAGATATTATATATTGAAAATATCAATACGAATATATGCAACAGAAGTGGATAGATAAATAGACTCACCGGATTGATCTGGTTTGGAGAATTGGCCAAGTTTGAACTGTGCTCGAAGAATTGGGTTACTGGTTGTGGTTCGCCAGATGTGCGTGTTCCCAATACGACTCACCAGTTTGTAGTGGATGTCGAGTCGAAGACGGACTATGATCACCACTACAATTCGTTTACGCGCCCAAAAAACGACTTGGTTCCTTTGATAGCTAGTAAATCAGAAGACTTTATTAATCCAGATCAATTGTATTTATTGGCGATCTCGTGGTATCGAAATAATACCGAGACGTGCCAAAGAGTACAGGCGAACAGGCAGTGCGTGAGCAAGTTCGAACCAAACAAGGCGGAGAGCGAAAGCAGAAGTGAGTCTGATACAGTTAAACAAATACAGTAAAACAATCTCTGGTACAATTGGTTACAATAATAATAATTGTTTCTGTTATTCCAATCGTGTTCTTATCGAGACTGGCCGGTCACTACACTCTCTCTCAGGCTATGGAATGTCCTATTGAGGTCCCCCAGGGCTCAATACTAGGACCTCTTCTCTTCTTGATCTACATTAACGATCTTCCTCAACAAGTTTCATCTGACTTATCGCTTTTTGCTGATGATGTGAAACTTTGGAGAGAGATACGTAATCATAATGATATACTAGTTCTTCAGGAGGATCTGACCCGACTTCAAAGTTGGGCAGACAACAACGGACTTACCTTCAACACTTCAAAGTGCAAAGTAGTCCATCTGAGACATGTTGCAGTCTATAGTTATAACTTAGGTAACTCCCCTCTAGAAGTTTCCCAAGTCGAAAAAGATTTAGGAGTGTTGGTACCCTATGACCTGAAATCGTATGCGAAATGTGACAAAAACGCCTCTCAAGCAAACCTTGCATTGGTAACATTGAAGCGCATTTTTGACCAATTTGACGGTAGAACCTTTCACATAATCTTCAACAGTTTTATTCGTCCCCATTTAGAGTACGGAAACATAGTATTTCCTCCCTCCCTCCAAAAGGATAAGGACACTCTGGAACGTATACAACGTCGAGCCACGAAATCAGTTCGGGGACTCAAATTCAAACCTTATGAAGAGCGCCTCAAATCACTTAACCTTTACCCATTGGAGTACAGGCGTCTTATAGGTGATCTTCTTATGACTTATAGTATCCTTAACACTTCTGGTCATCCCCTTAAACATCTTCTTAAGCTTAGTCATAACACTAACCTGAGAGGTAACACCCAGAAATTGGAGACCCTACATAGCAGAAGAGACTGCAGACACAACTTCTACTCCGTTAGAGTTGTCAAGTGCTGGAATTCGCTGCCGACTGAGCTAGTCCAAGCGACCTCCCAGGAGTCCTTTAAGAGGAAACTTGACTTATTCTTAAGGACTAAGGATAACATATTATTATGATTTACCAAATTCATTTTTTTCCTCTATTATCGTTCATATACCTAGATTTTTGCCTGGAGGTATTGGTGATCCACTGATACTGGACATGGAAGCCAGTTAAGCGGAAGCTTCTTCTATTCCGTCCTCAACCATTTGAACCATTAGAACCATTTTGGGTAAACGTTGACGAATCTATGGTTTACGAACCAATCAGATATAAGATAGCAGGTCTCGGATTTTGGCGCGGAATTCATGCGTCTATTTGGCGTTATAGCTGATGTCAGTTCTTAGCGAAAAATCTAGATCTAGTTCCTAACCTTAAATATCAACTGTAAATCATAATTCTAATTCCTCTAGCTGGTTTATAACCCTCTTCTTCCTATAAATGGTTTTTACACCTGACTAGGCGACGTTTGTCGCTCCGCAAAGTCCTCTTGCAAAAGAGCTCTCTTTTTAACATTCCAATAGCCTAGGCCATGGGACATTTTGGTTTGATACGGAAGACTGAAAATCGTTAAGATGTAGCGCATTCGGAATTATGCTATATAATAGTATCGACTGCCAAGAAAACCCTGCTTCGCGCATGCTTATTGCTAATTGCTTTCAGTTTTCTCCACTGTTAAACTTTACCACATATTACGTGTAAAATATGCGAACCCCCAATCGCCCTGGCACGACTGAAGTTAGGGAGTGTCAACTCTCTTTCTCTCTCGAAATGACCACGTGGCGTTACGTATATAGCCACTGTTTGGCAAGTCACCGGCTACCATGAGACTGCACCCCCTAGCGTTGCTCCACTGCCTTGTGGATTAGAACATTATATCAAAGGCCCGTAGTGTAGCCTCCTAATGAAATCAGCTGCCTCGGTTCGGGCACCCATACAGTATCCCAGTCCTCACAAAAACCAATGACTACTACTGGCTTCATCGTTATTGTGTGACGCATGTGTTTGGTGCCCTTTTGTACCAGCGTTTATGTGTTCAAATAAATAAATAAATATTGTATGTACTGAATTCTTTTTCTCTTGCTCTTCTCTCTTCCAGATTCTCTGAAGCACACTCCCCTACACTTTCTCAGCTGCCACGTTCCCCCCGGGCTAATTACCAACCTATCAACAACTGAATATCACTATGCGAAGTCCCCATGATAAGTTTTTCTATGATGTCTATAGTGTTATAAGTCAATGGGAGTTCATAATTCTCCGCATCCAGACAATACTTTTGTGGGAACGTGTGGTCCCAAGTTTTGTTTTCACAGCATTCGTACACCTAGTGTTCTTGTAAATTTTTAATTATCATTCATTATTCATAGATCATTTATAAAAAGCAACTTCAGCACAGTGTTTATTTTCTGTCTGGCGTTGTTTCTTGTCTTGTTATGCAACCTCTTACAACCTCTAATGGCGAGATTTTTTCTAGGTACGTGTTTGCAAAATTTGTATTATACACTTATTTTTCTTGAAATATATGGGATTCCGAGATTATTTAAGATCGTTCGCATCTGTTACTGACTTGACTTCTCACCATAGATGGAGAGGAAAGTTTGCTAACGTAGCCCTATTTTGCTAAAGTCTACCATTCTGCTGATGTGGTTCTTCATGTAAAATATACTAAAATAAGCATTTTTTTTCATTAGTAATGACTTTAGCATTTGCCTAAGGAGCTTTGTAAATTTTAGCTATCAGTGGTTTCATTTTAATGGGTTTATGAGATTCCTGCTACATCTTGTATGTTTGCAAACAGCTGTCCATTCAATGAAATCAATGTATATTGTTGAAAAGTTGCAATTTATCTAAATGCCTGAGAAATTTAAATTTCCTCATCTTAATTGACAATCTAGGAATTTACTGTTATTGTGGTTTGCATATAAATTGTACATTTTTTCTGAGGAATTTTATATTGCATTTGTTCCTATCATAAGTGCAACCGATCTTCATGTAATAAACTCCTGCGTCATATCCGGTGATGTTGAATGGTACTAGGCTATTTATTAGTCCAAATAAAGGTTTGTCAATGACATAAACCCTACTTTGCCATTTTACGCCCAATTTTTACTCTGGTGTTTATGAAAAGAGATAGGACCCCATTTATCAATCAACTATTCCTTGACGACATTTGACAAAATTCTACGATATCAAATGTTTAAGTTTTCACTCCTTATCATAGTACGGAAAGGAATAAGTAAAACTAAGAAAACAAGAGTGATATAAAGAAATAGCGTGTAATAAACCGTTCACGATTTGAAAAACAGAGAGTGGATATATCTGTCTTGTGATCTGTGGTCTATCAGTACCTACATTATCTTGTTGAGCAACAAGTCATCCTGAGGATCCTGGCAATCTCGTCCAACTTGCTTCATACACAACTTATTATTAACACGCATCTTCTTATACCAATACCATGTCCTTTTCTAATTACCTCAATTTTGTTTTACTAGTTTAGTCCTATTCTATAATCAGCACTGCCATACAACATGCTTCACAAGTAACCTGTCTGGTTTCTCCATCCAAATGTGGTACAGCCCAATTAGTTTGTTTAGGATAGCGATTTTGTGACTATTTAAGTATCAGGGTATAATTTTCAATTCATGTCTTAAACTTTTGTTGTGATTTCCAAACAACTTTTCAAGTACAAATTCATTTATTCTGTTGAAAGAGGAATGAAACATAAAAAATTCCCAATTCCTCCTTTAGATTCTAAGCGTTCACCTGGTTCATTCTCAGAACTTGTTTCCGTTTGTCTGGAAAATGGGAGCATCATGTCTACTACTGATCTCAGCCATTGGATATCTAGCTATCTTTATAGTGCACTTAATATCGCAAATAAACTTGCTCCGTGTCATCGGAATCATCCTATCTCGGTGAGCATTCCTAGCTTTCATATTCTTTTGGTAGATTTATAATTCTTTTTGAGGTATTCTACATCATATAATTATTATAGTGCATAATCATTTCACTAATTCAGTTATATTCTCAGAAAATTTCAATTTAGCAGCTTGAATTAGAATTATAACAAAAGTTTGGGATAGTGATGGTTTTTTGTGCTATCATTTCGAGTTTTATCCTTAAATTCTGATTTAGATTATACTCATTTTTTCCAAATAGTACAAAAACTGATGAAATTTGCATGTAGAAGGTAGCATTTATTGTTTGTTTTTCAAAAGAAAACATTGTGGAAAAGAAGAGGTCAAAAATAGTTTTAACAACTCGACTCTTATTTTTTGAACAAACAATTTGATATTTTCGAACCAATTCTATGTGAGTAATCAGGAAATACCGACTGTTAATTAATGAAAACACTAAATTTCTTATCACGTTTTTGATTGTACTACCATTAGTTATACAGATAGCATCAATGAAGAGTGATTCTAATACAGTTCATATTGTCAATAAATGTCTCGATTTCCCAACATTTTACAGAATTGGAGGTTGCACATCCCGAACACTACTGTAAATGTGGATCCCCATACTTTGTATTGACATTTTTATCTCTTGATAGACAGAAAATCTCTTACCCATGCATTTTCATTTCTAATAACTTGTTTGGTATCACAAATTTTTGCATTAAGGTAATTCTGCTTCGGTTTGAGCACCCCGGCAGTATCCCAGCACTCACAAATCAAATGGTTTGTGTGGTGCATATCTACTTGATGCACCCCTTGTACCAATGTTTATGTTTGAATGAATAAAGATAACGTTTCATGGATCTTCTTTACATAAAGAGCTATTCTAACTTAGTATACGATAAAATCGAAAATAGAGAAGTGATGAGAACTACATTCTTGAGCTCTTACTCTCATATGTAATAGGATTTTTCAGACTTACCTCTATATTTCATACCGGGTACACAAAATGCAAATAAGAAAGTTCAAAGTTCCAGCATGTTTTTTGGAAAACCATTTTGCCGAACAAGACTCCCAGACTGATCTGTGTCTCCTTTCTAACAATAAAATGTTAGGTGGTTAGATTTTCAACTTTGCACCCTCACCTACTTAAAGTACTTCATCATACTTGAGAGACATATTAATGAGATTTTTGCATAGTTATTAAAAACATGATTCCTTCAATCAGTATATGTATCATACCTCCAAATGCCCTGGTACAGCCGAGAGTGGGGAGAGTCCGCTCTCCCTCTCCAAATGCTCGCACATGGCCACTCGAATATATAGCCTCTTCCAAGGAAGTCCTACTCACTGCCTTCTCGTGGCATTACTGTTGTTTACGAAATTGAGAGGACGAAAAGCGAATGTCCGGTGCTTTAACCGGATTGGTGGACACGGAAAGTTCACCTAGGGGGGGGGTTGGAAACCCTGATTCCAAACCAACGGTGCACATGGGCTCCAGTATCCTGAGGGAACAAATGGCGTTTGAACCAATCGTTGGTCACCGACAACCATGGTACTGCATCTCCTTACGATGCTCCACTGTCTTGTGGACTAGACCTTCAGGTCAAAGGCTCCGGGTGTGGCCAAATAAGAAAATCACCTGCTTCAGCTTGGGCACCTGGGCAGTATCACAGCCCTCACACAAATCAAACGAGATTTGTGCGGCTCATATGTATCTGGTGCTTCCTTGTACCAATATTTGTGTGTTTAAATAAATAATAAATGCGTCGTTGATGGTCATATCCGCAATCCAACCGTTCATCGATCCCACAGTTTGGCTCTACCTAATCTATTAAAAAACTGTTTCTTAAGTCTGAATAATAGAATGACAACTAAAGCAATCAGCTTTCAACCAGTAAGTCACAAGTTCAAACTCCAACCCACTTACTGCGGTTTGGTCAATTGTGTCATTACTTCCTCATACACTCAGAACGTGACTTGGAACCACAGATCTGAGATCATTGGTCTCAAGAGATGATTAATTCATATTTCGTTCGTAACAATTTGTTGCCTGCATCGATAAAAAACCTTAATAAATAATAAAATAGCATCAAACTATAATTCATTTAGTATCAATTACTCAAAATGGTTGAAGTAGAAAGATTCAGTGACTATGGCTTCAGATTAGGTATGTCTAAAGCTATGGTTTTGGAACTTGATAGCATCCTATCGTCTAACACATCTATTTTCCAATATGTTGAAGTATTGTTCAATTAATGCTGACGAGGAATTATATATTTTCCTTAATATTTTTCTTAGTTTTTCATTATTTCAAGCTCTATCAGTATTGGATGCATCGTACTTAGCATGTATGTTTCCGGTGTAACCTTAGCTTATATAGCTCTCAATATTTGTTTGATTTTACCAACTTTGCTGCATCATCGTGTAATTTCCCGTGTTTGGGACTTGATTAAACCTATTTTAACGCGTATCGAAGCGGAGTTCGATAAAAATCCGTTAGAATCTCCCGAAGAACGCGATGCTGGTGAGCGAGAACTTTACGAGCCTATTGTTGAAGCTGCAAATGCTGCAAATTCTTCCGTATTCCCTGTTGGATTTTTAACAGACGTACCCATGAAACTGGAATCTAATCAGTTAGAGTCAGAAGAACTAGATAACTCGGAAGCAGTATTCATCAAACAGTTTGGTAGGTAATCATGTATCTTAGAGTGAATTTAACGCTTTCGAGTTAATGTAGATTGCGTACTTTTTGTTAAGTTTCCATCAAACGTATTTTTTATATAGTTCATTCTTGAGTGTTATTTTTTCTCATTAATCAACCGTACCCTCAATAATGTGGCTATTAAGAATGGTTTATTTTTAGTCACAAGTTGAGGTATGATTAAGTGACCACTTAATGACCTGTGAACTATACCTATTGTGTAACAGCGAACCATGTTTACCAATCCATTTGAGTGCTGAACATGTTAGATTAAATTCATATTAAAATAGTCAAGAGCAGTGTACATTACTCAATGTCTGAGGTAAAATATCATATAATTCTCGAAATCTCATCAGTTACATTCTAAACAAACACTTATACCGATATATCCGTTTTTTCGATGTTTTGAATCAAGCATTCAACAAATGTTTTGAAGTATTAGATCTAATAATTATTTGCCACCTGGAAAGTGATCCGAAATGTGTTGGTCGTAGTCAGTTGTATATTTATTATATTTCTATATTCTCAAGACCTAGGACGAGAATATAATTTATATTAGTCACATGCCTCTATCTAAAATGATCACTGCCGAAATACATTAAATTCTTTAAGATAATGTGGGTTAGTCAGCTTTCCATGATCTATTTTTAACTGAAGGCGTGATTGCTGGGTGTACAGCGTTTTTATTAGGTATATTATCTTTGATAATACTATATCCTTAGCATTCCTAATACATCTGTACAAAGCATAGGTCGTTATCCAGGTAATTAATCAAAACACTTCCGACCACTTAGTTTCAGGTTTGAGTCTGTACTCACCTAATTCGTCATAAAGATCAGCACGAAAAATGTGTACATAATAAGATACAACATCCAGAAATCATTCTCACAATAACGGTTTAATGGTATTCAGCCATAAGTTCAGAGGACCAGAGGTTCTGGTAATCGTTGTCATTTAAGATTTAGCACTAATTCTAGTCATGTGAACACATTTATTATCATTATTTCGCTGAAGTTTTGTTCTCTGAGCTGGAACAAAACTCCGAGTACATGAATTTGTATTTACTTACTTACGCCTGTTACCCCTCGTGGAGTAGCATAGGCCACCCACCACCATTCTTCATCCAACCCCGTCCTGGGCAATCCTTTCCAGTTCTTTCCAATCGCTATTCATTCTGTTCATGTCTACTTCCAATTCTCAGGGCAATGTGTTCTTTGGTTTTCCTCTTTTCCATTTCCCTTCACGATTCCAAGTTTGGGCCTGCTTCGTGATGCAGTTTGGTGATTTCCGTAATGTATGTCCTATCTAATTCTAACGTCTTTTTTTTAATCTCCTCTTCATTTGGAAGCTGGTTTGTCCTCTCCCACAGTAGGCTGTTGCTGATGGTATCCCGCGAATTGACACTCAGCATCTTGTGTAGACAACTGCTCCGTACAGTAGAACTGTCTTGACATTCGTTTTGAAGATTCCCACTTTGATATTGGTTTCCAGTTGTTTTGAGTTCCATATGTTCTTCACTTGCAGGAATGCTGTCCTTGCTTTGCCAATCCTCGCCTTTACATCTGCGTCAGATCCCTCTTATTCATCGATGATGCTGACCAGTCAGGTACGTGAAAGTTTCCACTTCTCCCAGTTTCTCCATCAAGTGTGATTGGATTGGTGTTCTCCGTGTTGAATTTGAGGATCTTGCTTTTCCCTTTGTATATGTTGAGGCCTACTGGTGCAATAGCTGTGGCTACACTAGTTGTCTTAATATGCATCTGTTCGCGTGTATGGTATAGAAGGGCCAGGTCATCTGTAAAGTCCAAATCTGATAATTGATTTCCGAGCTGCCCATTGTATTTCGTGCTTCCCCTCAAATGTCGAGATCTTCATAATCCAGTCGACCGCCAGAAGAAAGAGGAAGAGGGAGAGTAAGCAACCTTGTGTTACTCCGGTTCTCACTTGGAATGAATGTATCAGCTGTCCTCCGTGCGTGACTTTACACTTCAGTTGTCGTATGAATTCCGGATTATGCTTACGATCTTCTCAGACACCACAGTTTCAAAGAAGTTTTCATAATGTTCTATTTACACTGTCAAACGCCTCATAGTCTGTAAAGTTGATGTATAGTGATGAGTTCCATTCAATTGATTGTTCAGAGATTATCCGTAGTGTCGCTATTCGGTTTGTGCACGACCGATCCTTACGGAATCCAGCCTGTTGTTCTCGAAGTTGGGCGTCTACTGTGTCTTTCATTTGGTCAAACAACACTGTTGATAACCTTTCCTGGTACTGACAGTAGTGTGATGCCTCTATAGTTCTCACATTTGCTCAGATCTTTATTTGGTATCTTGATGAGATGTCCGCTGGCACTTGTTCCTCCTCCAAAATCTTCTTGAATAAAAGGTGAATCATGTTTGCAGTTACTTCAATGTCTGACTTCAGTGTTTCAGCTGGTATATTTTCAGGTCCTTCTGCTTTCCCACTCTTGATTTGTCTGGTGACCATACTGATTTCTCCCGTCGTCGGTGGAGTGACGTCTATAGGAAGGTCTGTGGGTGCTGCCTCAATATCTAGTGGGTCCATTGGAGCTGGTCTGTTCAAGAATTTCTCGAAGTATTCTACCCATCTGTTCCTCTGTTCTTGGGTCTCAGTGATTGTCTTGTCTTTTTTGTCGTTGACCAGTCTCTGGTTTACTATATTCCCCTGCTAGTTTCTTCGTTGTGTCATATGGTTGTCTCATATTTCCTTCACTTGTAGCTCTTTCTGCTGTCATTGCTAGCTCTTCCACGTATTTCTGCTTGTTGACTCTAATGCTTTTCATCACTTTCTTGTTTGCTTCAGTGTATTTGGCCTGTGCCTTGACCGTCTCTGTTCTTCTTCGACTGTTGTTAATTTTTGTCTTCTTTTCTTGAATCCAAAACAGGGTTTCGATAGAGATCCATTCCTTATGATGCTTCTTGCGGCCCAACACCGTTGAAGTCAATGCTTCTCTGATCTCTCTCCAGCTGTTCTCCATAGTAGTTTCCTCTTCTTTTTCTTCCTGTAGATCTTGTAAGGCTTGGAAGCTGTTGTTGAGTTATCTTCAATTCATTGGGTTTGTCAGTATCTTGAAGGAAGACTGTATTGAACTTGAGCAATACCGTTTCTTCAGTTTCCTAGTGTTTCTTTAGCTTCAGTTACATGTAGACCACAACCACGTAGTGATCTGAATCTATGCCAGTTCCTCCCCTAGTTGTCACGCCTTCCATTGACCTTCTGAATTTTTTATCAATACGAATATGATCTATCTGGTTCTCTGTGGTGTAATCCGGTGAGATCTATTTAGCTTTTTGTATGTTTGTGTGGGAATATTGTGCTGCCTATAACCAATTTGTTGAATGCACATAAATCTGCAAATCTCCCACCATTCTCGTTCCTTTCTCCCAGTCAGCCCGTCTCGTCCCATAATATCTTCATATCCGCTGTTATCCACTCCGACTTTGGCGTTTAGATCTCCCATCAATATAGCGAGGTCCTTTCTTGAGTACTTAGCTATGAATGATTGAAGCCTCGAGTAGAACGGATCTTTAATGCCGTCGTTACTATAATTGGTGGGTGCATAACAGCGATAACCAGCTAAATGTTTGTGACTTAAATAAGTCCTTTATTCATCAGTCATCTGACATCATGCTCCCTATATCCAAGGGTTTGAAGAATAATTGTGTCCTCACTTTCACTGAAAATGATGTCCGGAAATGTCTCCAGTCTCTGAATTCATCCCAATGTTTAGGACCTGATGGTATCCCAAACCTCCTTTTTAGAAAATGTGCTGATGTTTTATGTTATCCATTAACGAATATCTTCAACAGATCCTTCTCAACTAATGTCTTACCGAAAATGTGGAGAAAGATAAAGGTAATCCCTATACCTAAGAAAGCTTCTGGTGATAAAAATGCGAAACTTAGACCCATTGCAATAACCTCACCTTTCCTCAAAATAATGGAAAAATTACTGATACAACCACTTCAACCTGTAATAAAAGAGCACTGTGATCCATATCAGTTTGCTTACAGATGCAAAAGAAGCACATTAGATGCCGTTGCTGTTCTGCATCACAATATAGTGTTCGGGTTGGAAAAGGGTAAGAAGTATGTTAGATGCGCTTTCCTGGACTTTACTTCAGCTTTTGATTCTATTCCAAGACACCTCTTACTTAACAAGCTGATCAGCGTCGATACTGACAGCTGGATAACCAATTGGCTATGTTCCTACCTTTCTGGAAGAGAACAGTACACTGTCTTTGAAGGAAAGTGTTCAACATCTCTACTGCCTACTGTAGGTGTGCCACAAGGAGCTGTTCTTTCACCTCTGCTCTTCTCTTTCTTTTTGCATGATCTGCCATCTTCCACAGAAAACACTTGTAAAATATGCGGACGACCTCACCGTATGTATGCCAATTTCTACCTCCTTACATCCTATAAAAATGAATGAGTTTTTATCTCGTATTGAAAGGTGGTCTGTTGGTAATGGTCTCTTACTCAATCCATCTAAATGTGAAGCTGTTAATTTTAGCTTGAGACATGGACAGAACCTATACTCTATGTTGGGATCCCATAATGCTTGTGCCATTGGAGACTCCTTAATAAACACAGTGTCGAAGGTCAAATATCTTGGTGTTACTTTTTCCTCTTATCTTTCTTGGTCTTCTCATGTTTTACTGTTATCGAAAAAAGTTTACCGTTTGACATACTACATAAAGAGGCTGCATGCTTTTGGGATTACTCGCCATTTACTCTTACAATTTGTAAATTCCTGCATATTACCTATTATTTTATATTGTTCTCCATTATTCTTTCCTGGGCTTTTGAGAAAAGACTTTGCTATTTTGCGTAGAGTGCTGAAGGCAGTTTGCAAGGTATGTGGTGAATCTTTTGAAGTCATTGTTAATATGCTTGTGGATAGACATTTTAAGGCTTGCAAACTCTTGGCAGGTGTTATCTTATCAGATACTAACCATCCACTTCATTCATATCTTTCTCCTTGTATATCTTCTGGTAGAACAAGACGTAAATACATTAAAATCCATGCACGCAAGCAAATCTATAAAAGTTCTATAATACCTTACTTAGCAAATTTACTTTGTGACGAACAGGCTGTTAGAGTTGACCTAGTAAATAACCTGTATTCTTAAGCATGCCTCATATTCGATAATTTGTATAAACTCAGATTTTCCTAAACCTTTTTTTAATTTTATTTCTGTTGTTTTGTTTTTTTTTGGGTATTTTTTTTGGTAAAAAACTTGTTGAAATAACTCGTTCTGAGAATTCTATATTGTACCAGATTATAATATTGAATAAAGCCATTAATAATAAAAAAAACTAAAAAAAACATTGGATAACATTCATTGTGATCCCCTCCTTTGTTTTGAATGATGCTTTGATGATTCCGTAAGATTCCTATCCTACAAGTGCATTTCGTGCTTCTCTGGACAGCATTAGAGCAACTCCCTGTGTGTGTGGAGCGTTTTCCTCTTTGTGACCGGGGTACAGTAGCATCTCTCCCGTATCTAACCTTTGCTGTCCAGTTTGGGTCCAATGTGTTTCGCTGATTCCAAGTACTGTCAATTTATATCTCATTTCCGTTGCTATTTGACTGGTCATCCCGGTCTCCCACATTGTGCGGGTGTTGCATGCATTAATAAAAATTGTTGCTCTAGTTGTTCGAAGGGGCATCGGCCTCGTGACTTGTGAATAATCTCGGCTTTCATCCTGAGGCGTCATAATTCTTCCTTCAACTCCCAGGATAGAGTTTAAATGGTTTAATTTGTTTGGTAAATGAATAACATGAAATAACTAGAAAAAAGTAAAGATCAAATTTTATTCCTCCTAACTTCACAGTGTTACTTATACGATGATTTTCTCTGTTATTTTCTTAAGTTTCCGATATTAGTTCTGAAGAACTGGATCGCTTGTTCTCTGAAGCTCTTGGTGAGCATGAAACTGCAGCAAAAAACACTATCAGACATAACAAATCCGATAATAATAATCATAATAATAATTTCTCAGAATTTACTGACACAGAATATCCATATATAATTAAACAGGAAACAGTAGAAAAATCACATTCACCACCAATTTTATGGGCAATGGAAAGTGAGTATGCTACAGATGATGATGAAAGCAGCGATATCATGGGTGAGGTAATTTCACATTCGATATTATTTAAGAAGTAATGAAGATGTTTCATTCAATAACGTGCTATTTAAACAAAGGACTAATATTATTTTAATCCCGTTTTTTTTTTGTTTAACTTCAGTTTTCTTTTTTTTTCTGCGGAAAATATTTGTTTCTTTTAACTTCAATTGTATCTTGTTTGGAGAGATTTAAATCATCCAATTTGTTGATATTCAAGACTTTCAAGATTTTAATCTGCCTTCACCGACATATATACATCGTAATTGAATTGTTTCTATGTAGCCATTTTGTCGCGTGTTGATGTATAATACGGGAATATAGGTAATTTTAGCAGACAAGTCTCAAATGAAATGAATTCATCCAACTTTGTATGCTGTATATACGCACTGAATTAGATAAGCAAATAAAATATTTCACTAATATCCGTTGTTGTTGCTCTATAAAGTTTATCAGGAAAGCTGACTACATGAAACATCTTTCATACCAACCGTTGATGACTACTTTCCTGTTCTCTATATGCATATATTCAGAAAACCTTGGAGCTAACTCATTTCAATCATCATATTAGTATAAACAAACTCTAATTCCTTGTCTGTATTTCATCTGAGTATATCATATTAGCTTTACTGTATATTAGAGTAAAGCCTGATCGGGATCTTGTCGGAAACAATATTGTTCGCTCGTATGTGTTGTTCCAATTGACAACATAGAAATTCTTAGTGTCAAGTAAGTCGACCTAATTACAGTAGTTATGATTATGATATCGACTAAGCATTGAGAATATGACTGGAGACGAAGTAATTTAAAGGTATGCGTGAAGAGATACTGCAACATAAAATCTAGAGGACAATAAAATGAATGCATCTGCTTCACTGTAACCGATTCCCAGTTATGTCAACCAACAATTCCAATTACTGTTCTCTGTTATTTCATAGATGTCATCCAGACAGTCTAGACTAACCAATATGACTCAATTCGACAGTCAGTGACTTAATGAACTGATTTAACCATCGAGTTGTGGATTTAAACGTGATTGCCATACTTCCATTCGTTTTTTGACTAACTTTTAATTATCATTTGTAGTATCATTTCTATCCTTTTTTTTTCAAATACATAGTTCCCTTTATTAACTAGAAAGGAAGCAAAAACAACGATCTATGCAGAATAAAGTGACCATTCATTTTATTTTGTTAAGTTCTCGTCGTCTTCTTAACATCCTGTGATACAAATGAGAGAAAAGCCTACTTTCGCTTGAAAATAATAAAAAAATCTTCGACAATGCGATTGTGGTGTGAGCTACTGATATCGATATAAGTAGTATATATGGTGAGTAAGGAATAGAATATCTGACAGCAGAAGATTGAGAAGATCAAGAAGAGAAGAACAGAAATAAAAAGCAATTTGTGTGGAAATTCAGGAACAATGAAGTCTGAGGCAATTGAAGAACATTTTGCAAATAGTGTATCATAGCATGGTTTTTGTATTTTACCAAGTAACGTTGTAATTTGCGCTAAATACATAGTTGGTTGTCCTCACCCGTGTTCTCATTCACAACATTTGGTGTCGCTGCCTCCAGGGATGAAGATTCCATGGCCGAAGGAATTTGAGGACGGGGATGTGCTGAGCTTCCTGAAGGAGTTCGAAGCTGTGGCGGAGCTGGTGGGGGTGAAGGAGCCGAAGGCGAAGACGGTGGTGCTGGGGACGCTGCTGAGAGGCAGAGCGAAAGCTGTATATGACAGCCTGGACGGTGCGGGCGGTAAGACGACATGGGAGGCAGTCACGGAGCGGTTGACCGTGGAGTTCGATAGCCCAGTGGACAGAGAGGAAGCACTGCAGAAGTTCCGAGTGGCGAAGTTACCGAACGATGGTGATCCGCTGGTGCTGGCCGTGGAGCTTACCAAGTTGCTGCGTCGCGCGCTGCCAAATCTGGATGAGGAGTCGGAGGCACAGTTGTTGGCGTCTCAGTTTATCGAGAGCGTGCCTGTTGCCGTTTCCCAGCAGCTGAGACTGGTACACGCCGCGCAACCTATGGATATCAGTGAGCTTGCAAAGGTGACGCGACAGTTGATGACACAAACAGTAGCTCCGGTCGCGTGCGGAAGTCAGGAGATAAGCATCATTGAGAAGAAGATTGAAGAACTGCAGCACGAGATTGCGGCATTACGAGTGATTCGGAAAAGGAATGATAAGTGTTTCGCATGTGGAGGGACAGGACACCGGAAGATAAACTGTCCAACACGACGAAAACGGAGATATTTTAGACGTTACGTGTTTCCTTCTTACTCTAGGGATCTGGGGGTTGTTGCATTAGTAGATAGAGGGGCAGTCTATGCAAGAGTGAACGTAAATGAACTAGATTTAGTGTGCCTAATCGATACAGGGGCAGCAGTTTCGTTAATAGGTAAAGAGCAATGTAAAAGTTTTAAGCCGTGTAAAGTCGCAGTTCACACTATAGGAGGGCATATGTTAGAGGTATTGGGCGTGTCTAACAGTATCGTAAAAGTGGATGGTTCGGAGATAAGTTTTCCGTTCGTGGTAACCGCAAACCTGTCGAGACCAATATTAGGAGCAGATTTCCTAAGAGAAGTAAAAGCCATAGTTGACCTAAGAAGCGGTAAGGTGGTCACGAAGTACGGTTCATTCTCAATACATGAAAGTAGTGAGGTGGCTGAGGTTAGAGTGGCAACAGCCGTTGTGACGAAGAAACCAAACATAACCGAGTTGTGCAAAAAGTATGCGAAACTGTTTACTGGAGAAGGAGAACCGTACGGATTTTGCGACAAAGTAAAGCACGAAATCCCGATAAAGAACAATGGAGGAAGTATATTCACAACACGTCGTGTCCCTGTGCACTTAGAGGCTGAAGTAAATCGACAGGTCCAAGAGATGCTGAAAGAAGGAATAATTGAGGAGGCGGACAGCCCGTATAGCTCACCGGTACTCTTGGTAAAGAAACCGAATGGGAAATATAGATTTTGTGTTGATTTTAGAGAACTGAATAATATAACAGAACTAAAGCCGTGTGCAATGCCAACAGTAGTGGAAACATTAGATCGGCTGCAGAATGCCACGGTGTTTACAGTGTTGGATTTGCGGTCAGGTTATTGGCAGCTGCCTATAAAAGAGAGCGATCGAAGCAAGACAGCATTTACCATACGTGATAAACAATATCAATTTAGACGAATGCCGTTCGGATTGGCGGGCGCACCTTTTACGTTCAGAAGATTAATGTCGCTACTGCTCAGGGATCTGGATAACGTCGAAGTGTATGGCGACGATGTAGTCGTATACAGCCAGACAGAAACAGATCATGTCAAGCATGTGGAAGCGGTCCTAAAGCGAATTGAAGAATTCGGACTTCGAATTAATAAGGACAAGTCACAGATGGCGAAAAGTAGCATCACGTTGTTGGGGCATAAAGTGGGAAATGGAGAAATAAAACCGCTGCCGGAGAAAATTCTGACTATAAAGAACGTTGCAGTACCGAATTCGAAAAGGAAATTGAGACAGTTCCTGGGAAGGGCGGCGTTCTACAGTCGGTTCATCAAGAATTTCAACGAAATAGCAGCACCCCTTTATAAGTTGTTGAGTAACACTAAATTTTCGTGGACTGAAACCGCCCAACAAACGTTTAATCAAATCAAAAACATGCTGGACGACCGCCAGATGACGCTCAGACTGCCCGAACTGGAGAAACCGTTTACAGTGACAACAGACGCAAGTGACCATGGTATAGGTGCCGTTTTAAGTCAGTCTGATAGAGTAGTGGAATACGCAAGTCGCGTTCTCACGCCTGCCGAACAGAAGTATTCAACGATCGAAAAGGAGTGTTTAGCGATTGTGTGGGCAGTAGACAAGTGGAGACCATATCTGTTAGGTAAACGATTTCACATCGAGACTGACCATAAACCTCTGCAGTGGCTACAAACAGCACGAGACCCACGTGGGAAGTTGGCGCGATGGATGATACGTCTGCAGGAGTATGACTTCAGTATCGGGCATGTTCCAGGGAAGGAAAATGTGATGGCGGACTATCTGTCAAGAACAGACATGGAAGCCGAGCTTCCATTGACAGCATACGCAGTGAACAGTATAGAGGGAGACCCACTAGAACTCGTCCGGCAACAGAAATCTGATCCTAAACTGCGAGAGGTAATCAGAGTGATAAGAGAGGGGGCAGATTTTGACAAACGAGCAATGGACAAGGAGGCAATAATGTTGCTTCGGCAAAAGGAAAGACTGAAAGTGAACACATATGGAGCTCTGGTCTGGCAGGATGATGACAAAAATTGGGTGGCTGTGATCCCGAAAGACTGGCGGCGTAAGATGATACACGAATGCCATCAGGTAGCGCACACTGGTATCGCAAGAACGACAGATTTACTACGGCAAAGTGCATACTGGCCAGGCATGAGAGACGATGTGGCCCAATATGTGTTGAGGTGCCAGCAGTGCCAATTAATGAAAAGCGATAGATACATGCAACCGCCATTGCAGTCGGTCCCAGTAACCGCAGTTGGTGATCTATGGTCGGTAGATGTGATGGGACCATTTCCACAGACGGATAGCGGCAACCGATACTTACTAGTTATGACGGAACATGCTACACGATGGGTCGACGCTGTACCGATTGCCGACCAGCGGGCGAAAACAGTGACCGAAGTAATAATCCGGCACATTGTAGCAGGTCATGGAGTACCGAAGATGATACTAACCGACCAGGGTCCCTGTTTTGAAAGTGACGAGTTTAAGGCCCGTTTGAAGCAGTTCGGTATCAAGAGGATACGAACTACACCGTATCACCCTCAGACGAATGGGCTTACGGAAAGAAACAACCGGACATTAAAGGAATGGTTAGCATCTAAAGGAGGGAATTGGGAGAAAGAGTTACCACTAATTTTGCTGGCGCATCGTGCCTCCATCCAAGGAACAACTAAGAAATCACCTTTCCTACTTATGTATGGTAGACAGCCACGACTTCCGATGCATAATATGACGTGGCCACAGCAGAAGAAGTGGACGGCAACAAGATTAAGGAAAGAGAGGACGGAGGCAATAAAGAACGTGAAAAAGAAACAAATATCAGACACCAAGAAGGTGGAACAGCAGAGAAGAGCATGGAAGCCTTTTAGAGTGGGGGACCTGGTAAAGTGTAGAGAACGGAGAGCTAACACTGAAGGGGGACCAGGGTCAGGAAAGCTGACCCCGAAATGGGAGGGACCGTACATTATCACGGAGAGACGCGGCCCAGTTTACACGATCCGGAGAGAAGACAAGCAGAAGCGTGTAAATGCCAGTCAACTACAGAGATGGTTTCAGGAACATCATGAGCACGAGTCACGAACAGCACCAAAGGAGACAATGGTACGGCGATCAGAAAGATTGCGAGAACAGCTTATTAAAAGGGGGGACGAGTGTGGTGTGAGCTACTGATATCGATATAAGTAGTATATATGGTGAGTAAGGAATAGAATATCTGACAGCAGAAGATTGAGAAGATCAAGAAGAGAAGAACAGAAATAAAAAGCAATTTGTGTGGAAATTCAGGAACAATGAAGTCTGAGGCAATTGAAGAACATTTTGCAAATAGTGTATCATAGCATGGTTTTTGTATTTTACCAAGTAACGTTGTAATTTGCGCTAAATACATAGTTGGTTGTCCTCACCCGTGTTCTCATTCACAACACGATTTCTAAACATATCTTTCATAATTTCATCTTGCTAATTTCCCCTCATTACGTTTATCCAATGTATAGCAATCAAAACGAACATATTTGTACCAGATAGCACTTTGTTAATGAGTAACCTTGTTTTTAATGCCCCCAACCCAACATCGGCTGATTTCGAGAAGTCAGATCTATTTTCAGGAAACAAATGTCATACATTGGCCAGGTGATAAGTGCATGTAACTGTCCAAGAAGTAGTTTTTTTATTTCTAAGTAATGAGACATACACCATTGGTGGGTTTAATTTTTCAAGGAAAATGTAATATGTATATATGCTAAATTTCAGTTAATCATAAAATTCCTTTCTCATTATCTTCTCACTTCAGTAGTCGTTTGGGCACGTATATTAGTGTCAGCTCTAGGACACGACACATCATAACAACTTTGATTAATTATTTATTAACAACAAAATAATAAAAAAACAAACGATGGGAGCAAATTATTTAAAAAGATTAATTAATTGTTATCAGAAAGGGCTTTTGTGGAGATTTTAGTAATTTTATGTAATTGAAATCATGAGTCAATTAAAGCTAGACTACCATGGAAATTCTGGAAGCACTGTACGAATATCTCGTGGGACTCCTCATCAGTGAGCATCCACGATCCCGCCTCACGAGATTCGAACCCAGGACCTATCAGTCTCGCACGTGAGCATTTAACTGACAAACCACTGAGCCGGGATCGTGGGTGCGCACTGCTGAGAAGTCCCACAATAGGACGAAACGGCTGTCTAGTGCTTCCAGGTTTTCTATGGTGGTCTAACTTCAATGGACTCATGATTTCAACTATATATAATTAATTGTTCGTTTTTCAAATTTTCGTTATTTACGATGTTTGTTTTCTTAATCCTTGCAATCGAAACAATTTTTTTTTTTAAAAGTCCTATTTTTCCTTATTTTTTTTTCAATAATCAGGTTTATCCATCTCCGATGATAATGAATAAAGATATTGAACATGAAGGATTTGTATTTGTACGAAAAAAAGAATCAAAATAAAACTAAACTAATAATGACTTCATTCGTTGGGTATTTTGTTTTCTCCCCTTTACAACTATTCACTATCTGTATACAACCATACTCTACTTTCCATAATTATTTATTCTATTAAGTTTTATTTCATACTTATTATTTCTATTAATGGTTGTATTGGAGTAGATCACTGTAAAGTTGGTTATTATTGTTGCTATGCTGAAAGTATCAAAAAATCCTTTTTTTTTTGTTTTTCCTGTTTTTTTTTTACAGATTTTAACTGATCCACATAGTTTTATGTAATAAAATGCATTTATATTGAAACATTGATATCTTTCAAATAGTATTGTTTGTTTGAATCTTCCCATTGATGTTTTAGGACTGAAACTGATCAGTCTCTAATTAGCATATATGCATACTGTGCGTATTGCTTCGATATAGCCTCTGAGATGCAGGTATATCCAGCTGATGAGTCCCAAATAGGACGAAACGCGCGTCTTGGATTTCACTGTTAGCCACTATCCATCTTTGCTTACCATTGATACTTTTGTTTTTTTTTTAGGGAAAAGAAAGTATTTCTTTATTTATTCTTTCAACTTAATGTGTAATTTTTGAACGTGAGATTTAATGGATACTTGTTTTAACTGTTTTCTATGATTGAAATCAGTTAAGGGTTCCATGGTTTATATTACATGTGATACGAATTTGTAAGAAAAAAACCACTTATATTTAAAAATGTATAATTAATATTCTCAAAAAATAAAGACATGGTACTGATTGGCAGAATACAAGTTTAAGTGATCTATTTAAACTAATCTCTTATAAATTTCAATAAAGCGGAAATAAACTCCGCGAAATGATATGAATTCTTCTGTCAGTTGTTTACAATAGTATTCAATTATCAACAATTATACATTTAGAAAGGGGTTCGAATCTCGCAATGCGGAATCGTACATGCGCACTGCTGAGGAAACCTATAATAGGATGGAACGGCCGTTCCGTCCTATTATAGGACAATTGTACCCGACCGTTGCTGCTACCTTGACGTGGTGGTCGGGCTTGCCTATCGTGATGATCCAATCGAGCTATGTTGGCTGGAACAATCGTTCCTCAAGGTCCTACCATGCCAGACAGGTCGGTTGAAGAGCGGTAAGACTAAAAGCAGCAATCCCATGGTCCGAAGGCGAAGTCATACTGCTGACTGTACAGAGGTGTGACGGCAGTAAGGTGTTTCCTTCAGACAACCTGCATGACAGCGATGCTGCCTTACCATAAGGAGGGGTGGGGTTAGAAAAGGTCAACCCTAAAAATGCACACCTCGCCTTATCCCACGGATTCCCGTCTCCGGCGGTAAGGTTTTTTGAAGAACGGAACTAACACGTCAAAAATCCCCCACAAAAAGGTCATGCGTGACCGACCTCAAGCAGTTGTGCCTTGGGCACTGCGGTCACGCTCCCAGGTCGTTAAGACCAACACTAATCCAACTTCTTTTTCAGGTCCCTCAAGAAATACCCTTCCACGGTGTGGGCAGCCGGGAAGTGATAACTGCCCTCATACCCTTAACTACACACGAGACCAAGTTGGTCACTTCCAAATCCCTCCTACACCTCCTAATAACTCTTATCTCCACGACTAACCCTTCCCACGTGATTTTATCACCTCGCACCGCTAGGGCAAACGATTCAAGTACACAGAACGTTATTCCTGGTCTCCAGAAACCACGCTCTAAACTACATGTAGGAACTTTTAATGTCCGAACATTATGCCAAATAGGACAACAGGCTTCCTTAGCTAGGACTCTAGAATCTTACACCATCGATGTGTGCTGCGTCTCCGAAACGCGCATACAAGATCCGAGTAGTGTCATTCATTTGACCGCATCTAATCAAAATAAAGATTCATCTCGATACGCGCTTCGTGTATGTGGAAACCCTGATGCTGCTTCCCGTGGCCTCGCTGGAGTAGGTGTAGCATTAAGTCGTAGGGCAGAACTAGCTCTTTTAGACTGGATCCCAGTAGACAATCGTCTATGCCTTGTCCGACTAAACGGATCAGTAAGGACTCGGAAAGATAGGGGTACTCTTCGTGGTCTCTTCCTACTCTCCCACTGACTGCAGCTCAGACGATATAAAAGATGAGTTTTACAGGAAACTTTCTGACCTTCTCCGAAAAGCTAGGCGTTCTGATGTAGTAATAGTGGCTGGTGACCGTCCATTATTGTCTTTAGTGAGTAAATGTCTCACAACAGACATAATTGAACTTTTATGGCCACGGCTTCGCACCTTTGAGCGACAATGAACCGACCTTGAAAAAATTCACCTTACTACTAGGGTTAAATTATGGTCTTAAAGTAGTGTAATGAGTCAGGATTAGGATTTACAGTGGGACACTAAGGTCTTCATCTCAAATCGACATCAGCTATAATGTCAAGTGCTATTTAGCCGTATAGATGAAAGAATTTCGTGTCAAAAGCCAATACCTGCTGTCCTAAATGTGATTGATTCGTCCATAAATTATCGCCTCGTCACGTTTAAACTACTTATTAGTAGGTAGATTAATAGCTGTAAAATTTATTGTCAATGTGTCTGAAGTGAATAAAGAATTAGTTCTTTTTCAATTCGTTTTTCTTTATGAGCCGCGTATGGATTTGAGATTGATGATGAACTCAAGAGGGAGTTGTAAGGCTTGTTAATATTATAACTAAATGGGAACTATTTGTGCAAAATAATGAGAAATGATTGAAGAAGTCAACGATAATAAGCGTGGGATTTCAGTATTCATTTAATAAATGAACAGAAACAAATTGCAATAAAACGGACGGATTACATAATATTTGTCAAAATAATTGGCGGAAGTACGTTCACAAGTTAACTACTTCCAATGGTTAGGTTATAATAAACAGAGTATCAACAATTTTTACCAAAAGTGAGGGATAATAAGTATATAATGAAAGTGAGAGGTCACAAGTTTTTTGTAGATCTCCGTTACTACTTTGACTTCAAGGTAATAAGAATAGTTTGCAAGAAGTCACATTACAGATAAAATTCAGGTTTTGTTTAGGTGGATAAAAAAGTGTACGGCCGTGTGTATAGACCGTATACAATACAAGATATCGTTTGAAACATTTTATTCAATTCAACTTGATTTTCTTACATACGCCTGTTACTCCCAATGGAGCATAGGCCACCGACCAGCATTCTCCAACCCACTCACTCTGTCATGCGCCTTCCTTTCTAGTTCTACCCAGTTCTTGTTCATTATTCTCATGTCTCTCTCCATTTCTCAGCGTAATGTGTTCTTTGGTCTTCCTCTTCTCCGTTGACCTTCATGATTCCATGTGAGGGCTTTCCTTGTGTGCTTTCCTCAATGTGAGTCCAATCCACTTCCTGATTTCTTCCTCCACTGGAATCTGGTTTGCGCTCTCTCACAGTGGCTTGTAGCTGATAGTGTTTGGTCAACGGATCCGAAGTATTTTGCCTAGACAACTGTTAATAAACACTTGTATCTTCTGGATGATGGCTTTCGTATTTCTCCAGGTTTCTGCCCCATACAGTAGAACTGTCTTGACATTTGTATTGAAAATTCTGATCTTGGTGTTGGTTAACAGACAGTTGTTTTGAGTTCCAGATGTTCTTCAGTTGTAAGTATGCTGCTATTGCTTTTCCGATCTGCATCTTCACATCTGCATCAGATCCACCGTGTTTATTAATGATGCTGCCCAGATATGTAATGGTTTTCACATCCTTCAATGCTTCTCTGTCAAGTGTGATTCAAATGATGCATGTTGTGTTGTATCGGAGAATCTTGCTTTCCCCTTTGTTTATATTAAGACCTACTGCTGCTGAGGCTGCTGCTACACTGGTTGTCTTCTCCTGCATTTGTTGTTGCGTGTGTGATAAAAGAGCCAGATCATCTGCGAAGTCTAGATCGTCCAGCTGCATCCTAGCTGCCCACTGTATCCCGTGCTTCCCTTCAGATGTTGACGTCATCATGATCCAGTCAATCACCAGGAGAAAGAGAAAGTGTGAGAGCATGCAACCTTTCTGACACCGGTCTTTACTGCGAACAAGTCTGTCAACTGTCCTCCATCCACGATTTTGCATTTTAATCCATTATAGGAATTCCGTATGATATTGACTATCTTCTCAGGCACGCCGTAGTGTCGAAGAAGCCTCCATAGTGTCGTCCTGTCCACGCTATAAAATGCTTTCTCGTAGTCAATAAAGTTGATGTAGAGTGATGAATTCCATTCGATTGATTGTTCCACAATGATACGTAGAGTTGCGATTTGGTCTGTACACGATCAATTCTTACGGAGTCCTTCATTCTATTTTACAATACCCTGTTGAAGACTTTTCCTGATATTGAAAGAAGAGTAATATCTTTGTAATTCTCACACATTCTGAGATCACCTTTCTTTGGTATTTTGATTTTCTGAGTTTATCATTTTGATTGATATGAAGTTTTTTATTTGTCCTTTATCTAACCCTAAAGTAAGTGATACTCAGCGACGGATGTGCCTGATTATGCTTTTCTAGAACAGTAGGATGTTTAAGTACACGTGGAAGAGGTAAATATAAGCACATTCTCTGTTATTTCTTACCTTTAGGAGAGAGCTATAGTGAAATAAAATATATGACTCTACTGAAGTAATCGTTTTCTACGAAGATTTATATTTATACATGTCACTATTAACCAGATTGCATGATACTTGAAATTCAATAACAAATAACGAACTGCTTTACAACATGTTAGTTTGGGAAACGTATTGATTTACTAGTGTAAGGATACACAATCTATAATTGTAATACGGTATTCATAGCATTTTGACTCAACAACAATTTAACCTTCATGCCTGTCCTTAGTTGGTTTTAATTATACCTTATATGTCAGTGATTTAAATTATAGAATGAATTTTTATTATACTGTTAGTTTCTCTATTTCATATTTGTTGTATTTCAATAAATAAATAAATTTGACATATAAGCATCTAAGCCAAACAGAAAGAAAATACTGGGTCTAAGAAATCGGCTTGTCAGCATGCGTTATCATGGTATATCTACGTTTTTTTTTTGGTGGTGGGGAATTGATACTTTAGTGGCTCATTTATCTGACTCAAGTTATATCGTAGGATGATTACTATAGAAATACATATCATGACTACCCTCGTATATATACATCGACTTAACTCACGTTGGTGGAGAACGGAGTTGAAGAAATCATACGAGAATCGATTTCGAATACCTGTATTTTATACAATCGTTGATCCAAACAAAAAATCGAAGAAACAAGGCGAAATGACGCGTGGTGGAGAAGGCGAGTGAGACAACTCGATTTGACCAAGCATGAATCAATGTTTATACTT